ACATAGATAAATCATTCTCAAGTGAAAAAATCCTAAAGAGCATGAGCCAAATCACCCTGCACACCGCCATTGGCATTCCTGCTGGCACAAGAAAATACAAGCTGGACATCTGGTACCAGCCTGATCTCTCATGTCCTCAGAATGTGCAGGTAGGTGGTGGTTCTACTCCTGCCATCCTTCAGCAGTTCTGCCATTGTGAGCAGTTTTGAATCCTACTGTGTTTTCCAACAACATCCTCACTTCACTAGCAAGTTATTATAGGAAGACGTCTCCTCCCTGAGCACTCCTGATGTCATGGTCTCATTGTGCCTCTCAGGAGATGAAATTGTTGCGACCTTTCAAATTCTACATCAGTGGAAGCTGCCATGAACCCTGGATGAACATTTGCCCTGCCTTATTAAAAACCCCATATGCGTATTAATGCCAGTCTTTGTATCTGCAGACTTACAGCCAGATTCTGCTCTCATTTGCATCTAAATAACACTGATTTCGATGAAATTACCTCAGCTTTAAATCAGAAAAAAAACTGCCTGTTGACTTAATTTGCTAAAAGATTAACTGGATAAATCATCTTAACTAAATACTTAAACAACATTGGGCTCAAAGTCAGCTGGTCTGACCTTCATGACAACAGATTTCAGAGAATACCACCACCCACGCCATGTGTACCAAATAATTCCATTGTCTGTTTTTGCAGTATAAGGTCCTTTGTAGTACACACCATTCAAGTTGGCAGAGTGACACCTGGTGGGAAAGAAGGGAAAACATATAAGGATACTAAACAAATCTGGTTTGTTTAAAAGGCACAGAGATTTATAGTTCTTTCAAAATTCACTATGTTGATGAGTAACTAGTTTGACAGCTGCAGAAATTTGCATGTGGGAGGCTCAATGCCATTAAACAATAAAGGTCTAATCGGATCACAATTGCAAGTGTTCTCAGCTGCATCAAAACAAAAGTTCTTTTTGTTACTCGGCTCCCCTCCTTTAACACTTTTAGTTCTCTGATACTTTTCCTTCTATCTGTATTTTCTTTCAATGGATAATGGCTTCCAGATTTGTTAGGATCATACCTTGCCATAAAGACATGGGGCAATGAAAAGTTTGTGAAAGTAATTATGTGGGTTTTTTTGTTCATTGTTCGAGCATAACAGTACTAAATCCTGCATTTATTGCCAATGCTTGGGGTCTGGTATTAAAAAACCTGAGAATAAATCAGTTATAAGTAGGGGATTTTATATTTATTGAGGGGGAAACAAGGAAATCTCACTGCAAGTTAAGCATATACATTCTGGCCATTCTCTAACAGCTGCATTATCTGAGCTGCCATACTACCTGCCTATCAAAATTTATCCTTCTCTGACTCTTTAATACACTGGAATAACAATATTACATTTTTAAATGTGAAAGGAATACTTCAGCATGCCACGGCACTATCCTTGCATTAATTTTATTTCTATAAGGGAGGAAAAAGTTGGGATGATTATGTGACCATATGGAAAGTGAGTTTCTTTTTTATTATATTATAGTGAGTAAATTTATCTGCAGATTCCATACCAAATTATTGCAACTTCTAAGTCAGTATTTTGGTATTAGTGTCTAGTTGTCAGACCTCATGGTGGATGTCAAAATCAAAGTTTAGGCAGTACTCAAAAAGAAAACAAGCTAAAATGAACCTTAAGGATAGGGTTAGTAGTAAGCCTGGGTGTATGCTCTCTGTGTATATTTGCATTTAATTAGTAACAGTTACTAAGAGGTGAAATAGAAGCAGAAGTAAAAACTGAATCTGCAGAGAAAAGATAATTCTTATGTTTGTCATTGTCCATTATAAGCACTTTTTAAAGTGAACCATGGCCATAAACTAGTTGAATGCTGAATGATCAGCAGATACCAAAGTGCTGTTTTTTTCCATAATCAACTGGTAAAAGAACCAGGAAGATCATCATAGATTCCATACTGCAGAGGCAGTTTATTTTATTTGCATAAAACAAGGTTTCCTTAATACAGTCAGAGATACGGTTACTGGCAAGTAACTAGGAGCTGGAGTTCTCTATTGCCTCTCATTCAATTTCCTTCTTTTCGTGGAAACAGAGGCACATTGATTTCATCAAAAAAGTGCCATGAGCCAAGAATAATAATTCTTAAATTGGTGCTGGGAGACAAGACAAAAACACACAAATAGTTAACAGTCTAGACCCAGACAGAATTAGATATGTAGAAGAAACACATAAATTAATATGGTAGGCCTTTGATTAATGCAGATTAAAAAAATAGCCATAAAGATGTTTTTAAAGTCACTCTGCCAAAATTGGCAAGCCCGTATATTCCTATTTCCATTTTACTATCCTGATCTATTAACTGCTTAAAGAATTCAATACCAAGGAAGTGAGGTAACATCACTGGCAACCTGTATATTTGATTCGGAACACAGCTTTTGTGAGATAAAGGAAAGTCAGACCCGTAGCTACAATAGGAACTAGCATTCAAGAGCTTTCCATCTTTGGTATTCATATGGCATCAATCACTGTACTATATTAGGTGACAAGAGCTGTGAAACATTACCATATAGTTTTTTCCACAAAGGTATATTTCTTCTGCCTGAGCCAAGTAGACATAATAAAAAAATTATTCTGAGGAAAAATGGACAGAGTTAAATACCAGTCACTTGTGATTCATCACACATGAGCCCTGTGGCATATTACAGGCCTAAGCAATTTTAGGATGCGACATTCCTCTGAAGTTTCTGGAAGTTCTGATTTAATTGGAAATGGTATCACAACTGTGGCTTTGTTCCCTCTTTTGTAATTTCAGCCTTAATAAAATCTGAAAATCGATCTACATGTGATTTTCCTATGACTTCCAGTAGCATAACACATCCATTATGCTGATTCACCTTTTTGGAATATGCCAAATAGGTACAATTAATTTTGAAACAGACTAACAAAATGACTACAATTGTGGGATGGGCAAAATGGTAGATCATGCTGGAGGCTGTACTCCATATCCCAGCAGCCCCTGGCTGTGTAGCTGCAGCTGTGACAGCATGGGGTCAGGGTTTCCATGGAGACCAGTCCCAGTGCAGGCAGTGTGCACATCTGGGCAGGGAGCTGCTCCAGGGCCAGGGCTGGGATCTTGGATCAGTGTGGTCCGGAGCTGGGGCAGAGCCACAATGCACTGCCTGCACACCCTTCCCAGGGCATGCGGGCAGTGGATCATAGCTCTGCCCCTGCTTTTGAACATGCCTTCATTGTCTCAAGATCCCGGTCCCAGAGCAGCTCCCTGCTCAGCCACATGGCTTGCCCGCACTGTTGGGGCCGGTTTCCATGGAAGCCCTGGCCCTGTGTTGTCATGGCTCTGCTGCTCCTCTGGTCTTCTTGGAAACCAGCCAGAGCGACACAGGGGCTGCTAGGAAATGGAGTCCACCATGGGCCTAATCTGGCCTGTGGGTCAGACTTTGCCTGTACATATAAGGAGATCAGTCTAGCTACCACATTTCACCAAAGGAAACGTATTGAATTCTAGGAGTTGGGGGGTTAAAAGCAGAAATAGCAGGTGACATACAGAATGGAGCTGATCCATTCTGGCAGCTCATGCCAAGTAAACTCAGATCAAGAAAAGATAGTAATGTGGTTCTTCCAACTGTATTTTATAGCAGTCTTCCACAACTATATTGCAGAGCTGCGCTTGGCTATGTTTCTTATTAATCAAATGAACCTACTTAGATGGCTGGCTAGGATAGATTGCTTCAATGATATTAATATTAGTATTGAAGCTATCTATCTAGGCAGCCATCTAAGTGAGCTCTACTACTAGTTACTACTTATATTCTGTTATCTGCATTGGTATATTGTATATAAATATAGGAAATACTATCAGTCAAAATTTTTTTGACTACATCCAATTTAAATAATTTTTATTCTCAAAGTAACTGCTCTAACTAAAAGAAAATAACTCCTAATTCAATGGCTGTAGTACCATCTTGATGTATGGAAAGTTAAAGAGTATAAGACCCTGTGAACTGAGGTAAAGAAACAGATGTACTTGGTGTTAGAGATTGATTAATTCACCACTAACTATTCTCAGATATTCTGCACAAATGTCACATGTAAGCTAGTTACATGCTATAAGACTGGAAAGCACTAGTGATATTATATACATAATTAGATCACTCACACACACGTGCACTGGATGGCCTGCCCAAGTAATCTTGTTCACATAAAGAGAATGTGTACGTGTGACGGGGGCCATCTCATGGCTGGTCAAATCATTGGCCTGCCCACCTGTCTAGGGCAGGCTGCCCACCTGCCTCACCTCTGATGTATCTAATTAGTAGATGTTTACAAGGCAGGAGGTTGCCCATTTACTGCCCAATGCCAAGGTCATCTACACGGCTCTGAACTTCCCCTTATACTGTGTCCCATGCCTCACATATGGCATCACTATGTGGCTTTGGCCCCACAACAGACCTCACTCTATGCCTGCCTGATGTTCAGACACCACCTGGATCCCTCCTCCTCAGGCAATCTAATCTCTGCCCTCATACTGCAAAACTCCCTGAGCCCTTTTCCCTCTTGGCAGTGGACCCCTCCAGGACCTCTGGCCACACAAGTCCTGGCCTCACTTCTAGGCCAGCGGTGGGCACTCTGGCCCTTGGACCAGTCTGGTCTTGGTTCCAGCATTGACCAGCTGAGGGTTTCTCTGATCAGGTTATTGAGCCACTCACCCTCTCCATCTCATACAGGTCCATCTTCTCATGTACCTCCAAACCCAGTTCACTTAATCTCTAAGGCAGGCTTATGCTCAGTCCTTCAGGCCCACCCATGTGGACCCTATTCTACACAGCCTTCTCACATGCCCTCACTGGGCCTACTACTCCACCCCCTCACTGGGGCTCTTGACCTTACATCCCTTGGATCCCAGGCCTGATGACCTGCCTGCACACCTCGCCTGTCCCCTCTATGGGGTAACCCACCAGGTCGTGGGGGCTGAGGCTATATGGCGCCCCATTCTCGCCTTTCACTAGGGAGGCATCGGTGTGGCATTTCCTTGGGACTACCCTGCCACAGGCTGCCCCACCACACCATCCAACCCTAGCAGGGTGTAGTTTTAGGTCATTCCCCAGAACCAGGAGCCTCCTTCAACCCCATATATCCTGCCCTTAACCTCCAGGTGTTCTGGGAGCAGCAGCTCCAGCTGGGCGATGTTTCTCTGGCAGCAACCCTGCAGCAACTGCCAGCTCAGCTCTGAGGGCCAGGGTTTACACTGAGGCTGGCTCAGCCCCATCCTCCAATCCAGGAGCCTTCCCATGGTAGTGTGACTGCCTTGTTAGACTGCATCACACCTGCCGGCTGCATCACAGCCTGCTCAGACCTCTTAAAATGGCAGGCACCAACGGTGTCCTGCCACAGGACATTGTAGAAATGTCTGCTTCTGGTAGTTGTAAAACAGAGAGAATTTGAAATGTAGACCCCAGCACAGAGGAAATAGTCAGACCAACGGCAGCTGGAGATAATGTGGTAGAGGGTTGTCAGGCCAGATGTTTCTTCTGTGGTCAGCCAAAGACGCGTAGGCCAGTGCTGAACCATCTATGATAGCATCAGCAACAGGTTTCAAATACAATAAATGATAATAATTCTAGCTCATATCATGTGTTCAATACCTCACAGATAATCATATGGCAATATCCTAATTACTAATATTAGTATTCTCATGAAACATCTGACCTGTTAAACCACCAGCCAGATTTATCCTCTTCAGCACAGTTCCCTTCATAGTTGTCATTATCTCTGTCTCGTGTACTGAATTTCATTCCCCGGTGATCAGCCCACCATTTCACTTCAGGGTGAAACCCCCCAGTAAAGGAGTCTCCAGCTGTGCCTGAGTATTCACCACAAGTCATCCAGTATGAACTCTAGTGAAAAATGGAGAGGGAGACAGAGAGAGAGACAGAGAAATCAGACTAATCTGCTGTAACCATTTAACAAATAAGTTCAGAAATGTAACCCAGAAATATGAAATAAGCATGTTGTATTTGCTTCTATTTACAAACTAAAAATGTTTGGTCATTTAGCTATTTCATTTAATAGACAATTGGAACCTACTGAGAAAAAAAGCAAGATGATTTTGAGATCTCTGTCAACCATTTCTATTTTTCTGTCCTACTTCGTCAGCTATTGACAGGAAGTAGGATTACGAGTCAGATACTGTAAAGTGCTGAGAAGTTTCTATAGTTTCTCTTGGCTGCTAAACACTTTACTGTTGTCCTGTTTTCAAACTAATGGTGTTTAATGTATATACATACTTCGTGTACTCAGTGCCTCCCAGAAGTCTGAGCGTTTGCTCCCATTTTAGCAAGGTACTTAAGCATGTGCCCACAAGCTCAGGAGGCTTGTCAGTGAGGCCCTAAGGGACCATGACTCCAGGGGGAGAGGAGTTCAGGAAGAGTGGTTGCTCCTCAAGAGAGTGATCCTCGGTGCACAAGCTAATTCTATTCCATCTTGGAGGAAAGGCAACAAGGTGGCAAAGGCAAGCAGTCAGGTGGTGGCCCTAGATTTTAGGAGGGCGAACTTCAACGAGCTAAGGAGGATAGTTGGAGAAGCACTGAAGACTCAGAGGGGAGGGGAGCCGGGTGTCCAAGGGGAGTGGTCGCTCCTTAAGGAGACGATCCTCCAAGCCCAGAGGAAGGTAATCCCCAGGAGGGTCAAAGGGGGCAGGAGAGCATATAAGCCTCCATGGCTCACTAAAAACATCCGGGAATGTCTCCTTGCC